CCCGTGAATGGAATTGTTCACCATCCGCAGCCACAGTTTGCAACCTTTGCCGCACAACCTTCTGCTCCCAACTCCCAAACCAAGGTTAGACTGGATGCTGTGTGCGGCGATGACGCTTCCTTGCTCTAGTTAACCCCAGCATTGTGTTATCGCATGTAGCACTTCACCGTTGGTTAGTGATGCTCACTTCGTGTCTAAAACACTAATCGCGAAAAAAGCCACATTTATGATCGCCGCAGCGCCGCGGGTAGTCGTGTTAATTAAGCATCTCACCTGTAAGTGTTTTGTCCTCTTTTATTTCGATAGGCCATCTTTTAATGCGCATTTTTCCACAATACTCTGGTACGTCGTGGGGCATTCGCACACTGCCAACAAATCCGTTTGTCCTGAGCAGAACTTTGAAGGGAATAAACTCTGTCATAAACTTTTTTGGGGTACGTAGTCGGTCTTCACGCGTATCGATCCTCCAACAGAGGCTGCTCTGTTAATATTTAACGCTAAATGTGCTTTGTGTAAACGCCAGAAGCCTTTGACCTGTATTACATGATGGTATTGTGGGGTTAGGCCTAATATCGCAGTGTTAAATGTCTGATTGCAAAACTGGCGCTCTGTATTGCAGGTCGTAACGATAAATCCGCCCTCCGGCCAAGCCAACATTGTGCGGATAGTGAGCCCCGTGCAATTCGCCACCACCTCCGGACCCCAGCAACCTCGTTTTATCCTCAACCGACTCCCCGTGAATGCGACAATCATAAACCCCTCAGCCATTGTCATGGCACCCTCTGGAGTCCCCGCGGGAGGTGTTCAATTCGCCACGTCAGTCGCCAATGGCCAACCGCATGTGATTGCCACCGCCAATAACCTCCAAAACATCCCCAACACCAGCACGTTTGTTGCCCCTGGCTACCGTTGAGTGGACGAGGAGGGGTGCTCCATTTCATTCAGTGCATTTACCCTCCCACGCCCCCGCGCATTCTTCCTTTCCCTTGTCTCCTAAGTTAAAAAAAATTATTTGCTCCCGGCTGCGTATTTACAGTTGTGTTACTGGCGAACCTTAAGAGAGTTGCAATTTTCCTCTCCTCTTTGACTGGCTCTATTGCATTTCCCATTGCGTGTCTGTGTGCGCCGGCATGCCTATCCTAAGCGCACGCCGTGTTTTTTAAAGAAACCTAAGAAATCCAGAATGAAATGAAAGACAACTGATGCCTTTTTCCCGGTCTATAATTGGCTTCGGAAGGATGAATTCGTCTGACTGGGGTGCCGTTATGTTATCATATCCTTCAATGTATATAAAATGGAGTTAGCTGGTAATATGAAGGGCGGTCGAAGACCATGTAGGAATGGTGTAAATTGATGCGGAAAAAAAAACTTCTGGAAGCATTGTTTTCAATAATGCTGACTTTCGTTCTGGTTGTTCTTCCCGTCCATGCGGATTGGCTAACCCATTATCCTTTGGCTCGCGTACGGCAGCTCTGATAAGGTCCATGCTAGCGCTGTCAGATGGTGTGGTGCCCGTCGGTTGATTGCCTTGGCGCCTTATCTCTGAGTCTAGCTGTTGTCTGTCGTCGCTGCGATCATTGGCCTTCGTTTTTGACAACGCCGTATTTCGTATCCATGCATCTTTCCCTGAGCATTCCCATAAAGCACAGGGCTGGTTTGCGGTGAATGAAAGTGTCTACTGGAATCGGTGCAAGATGAAGTACGAGCCGCATTGCTCAAGTAGCTTCTAATACTTCATTATACAGCCTTTCTAGCGTTATAGCGATGACTCTTTTGGCCTCATGGAGTGTAGATTCTGCGGTGTCCTAATGGCTGCCTCGTGCATTGTCACGTGAAGGTTTGCAGTCTCCGAGTGCTGTTGTGTAATGCATTTGTTAACGGAAACGACTGTGGTACCCTCCTCGGTGGTAAGTAGGCTGGCGTGGTGAATGTGCATCTGGTTAGGTGACAGTTTGCTTCCAAATGGTACGCCTTCTTTGTAACTCAGGGTGAAAGTTAAGTAGCATGGAACATAGATTGTGTAAATTTGAGGCCATAGATGGACTAGAGGAAACAGCGTTGCCCAAATGTGAAACACTGACCTCATTCTTAACATCTGGGAGCAGTTTTTCTGAATTATAGCCTTCTTCGTGTCATCCAGATAGACGCGGAGGATATTGGCTCTGACGCCATAAGCAAGGCCTTTGTCAGAGATCATAGACTGCATTTCGGGATTATTGAGAGCAAGTAAGACGTACATTAGTTTTAAAAAATGAGTTATACCTTATTTAAGCTAACGGTTCATATGTGACCAGAAACAGTACAATTGTTGTAGCTTGGTCAAGCACTAGCTGACATCCCTCTGGCTAAGAGTTCTTACATCCCGAGAAGAGGGGAAAAGACGCGACAGATAACACATAATTTATTAGAGTTAACCAGCCAAATGGCTTTGCACGCGAATGAGTACACTTGTGTAACAAGCGATTGCTAACAGGAGCCAGTACCTAAAAATGTGAGTAATTGGCACAATCGAGCCATTATATGCGCGTCACTTACGCGAGGTGGCTGTCTGTCCGCTACACAATGAAGTCAGAGATGTTATGTTATAGGTAGTTAGTCCAGGAAGAAACAAAAGTAGAATTAATCCCTGAAGGTTGGCATCTATTTAATGAAACGAGAACCTTTAGATTGAAAGGAAGACTGATGCTTCTTGGTGTCAAATCTGCTGGAGAACGATGTTGACTTGTTTGCACAAACAATTCAGTGTACTGAGTTTGACCATCCGAAAGTCGACGCATGTGTCTCCATTCAGATGCGTGATATAGTAGTGTCCTTCAGTTTTGGAAAAATAAATGGAACTATCGTGGCCATGAAGTAAGGCAAATTCATTTAAACAGACTGCGGTAGCTTTGATTAGCAGTTACAGAACAGAGATTTGCTAAGATCTAAATGCAGTCGTCTGTGAGTTCGAGGTTTGTTGTGAATAAGTAACTCGGTGATAACATTTTAATAATATATGGGTGATTTAAGAATTCGCATGCATGCATATTAATCCATTTGCCCTTTGCCACTATAATTTGCGGCACCTTGATGGAATTTGCTACTGGAGAGTAAGGTGATCGGCGTTATTTTACATTTGTCGCTGCCCTTGCATACCAGCCTTATTGATGCTGGTGTGCAGTGCACTACCTAATCTTTAAAGAAAAACCAAAGAATAGAACTGCGTTATCAATTTGATTAAACCATTATTCAGATCCCAAGTAGACCTTGCCAGTTCCATGTGCACATCTACGATTCACAGGCGGTTAGATTATTGCAAACAACCTATTTTAAACCGTGCAATAAGCGGGCGAGTTCACATTAACATATACTTTTTATTCTTCTCATGGTTTCTTTCTTTGTATTTTGACCAAAATATTAGCAGTCATCCTTTTTCGACGCTCAAAACCATGGACGGTGATGCATTTCTCCTACACGAACGGAATGTGGCCATTAGGCTCAGCAAAGTGCTGACAGGACCTACCGGTTCTAAAATTTTCATGAAAACAATAAAATACTTGTTGCGATCAACCACATAATTCAAAAATTTGCGTTTCTAAATAAGCATATTTCCAGGCTTCATCTTTGGGCAGAAATTGGTTTAATTCAGCGTTTTGTTTCAGTGATTAGATCAAATAATGATCTTAAATATCTCCACACATATAAAAAAAAGATTTATTTTTCAGTTTCACCACAAAATGCAAAAAATTGCCATATCGTTGTGTTTCTTGAAGGCTAGTGCGGTGAAAATTGAAATCATTATTTGTAGATACTGATAATAATTTAATCCGCCCAGGTAGCTTTACAAACTGTTTTCTCGCCTGGGTAAGCTTGGTAGGTCATAACTTTACCCATATTTAAGTTTGTTATTTTTGTTCAATGTTCGTGTGAATAGTGAAGAATTTTTAATTCTTAATAATTAATAAGTCCTTATGCTTGGCTCTGGGCAACGTGTTCTCTACCCTTTGACGTTGATTTAGATTGTTGCAACGTATTCTAACTTGTATATTATCCATTGACTTGGTCTACACAATCATTAATTGTTGTAGCAATTAAAATTCTTCTGGAATGCAATTAGCTCAATAACAGTTTACTTCGTTACGCATTTTAATGAATGAGCCTCAATGAAGTTCTTGGCTGCACCCATTCGCAGTTTTGGCCCCTGTTAAAAACCTGCATATAATTTTTTGTAAATAATCTTGTTATTCCATAAATTCTACAGTAAATAAATATCGAGTTTGGTAACCGTGGGTTGCTTTATTTGCTTTGCACCTCTTTTTGGAAAGTCTGCACACGTTAAATAAAGCCAAATTGATTTTTATATTATATCTTAGCTTTCTACCCTAGCGCTAGTCGTTGATTCAAATAATTTAATTTATTTGGAAACATGTTTTCACTTGATGTAAGCGTAGTTGTGAATTAGTTAGTTGCATATTTTTGGGAGAAGTACGACTTTGCACTTCGCCATGACCCCAGCATGTTATGGCGTTTGGTTGTACTAGCATTGTAATTTGAGCCTAGTTATTATTTGCGCATTTTGTTTAATCCGATTAGTTTTGTTCACAAGTTTCCGCCTGTTGAGTAGGTCTGACCAACCTTGGTTTTCGTTAGATCGCTTCATTTATCTTTTTCAAAGTGTATAAATGACATAGTCAATAATCGGTTTCACTATCGAGATAATCTGTTGCAGTATTGAAGTCTGTTGGAGTCTTACTTTGGTTATATTTTGGTCACGAGTATCTTTGCAAATAGTTTTTGTAGTGATGGAAAACCTTAGCATTTATCTGACAAGAAAACAACCCTGTTATCATGAAAACTAAGAATGAAACTTCCATAAATCCTCATGTTCATTTTTTTTCTGCCGACCCAACATATTTTGGCATTTGTAATATCTAATCATCTCTGTACATCTTGTTTTCTAGAATCTCAAACATGTCTGCCTTTTCATTGACTAAATTTCTTCTTTCTGTGAAGTTGTAGCCATGGAAAAGGCATTTAATGACATGCGACTCGATTATATGGATGATAAGGAGAGTCTCTATGGCTACGTACACGCGGTCTCCGGTCCCGTTGTAACGGCCTCTCAGATGGCGGGTTCTGCGATGTACGAACTGGTCCGCGTTGGCCACGAGAACCTGGTTGGTGAAATCATTCGACTAGAGGGGGACATGGCTACCATTCAGGTTTACGAAGATACCTGTATCCTTTACTCGTCCCACATTCAATGTAGATAATACACTTAAGTAGTATTTTTAGTACTTTTATAAGACATTACAACGCGAACGTTTATGCTTTCATTTAAAACGTAGAAATGAATTGACCGACATTATGGTGTCTCTCTTTGCCATATTTTTCATGACTTCATTGTTTCTTCCCTTAACCAAATTCTATCGTTCAGCCGGTGTAACCGTTGGTGATCCCGTGATGAAAACCGGGAAACCTCTCTCTGTGGAGCTAGGTCCCGGCATTATGGGCAGCATCTTTGACGGTAAGTCGATGCAATGGTTTTGCTTCTTTTTTACCTATATACTGTCCCGCTTATTGGGCGATAGACGCCGCACCAAGACCTCCCCATTCATCACTCTTAAGCCCTCCCCACCACCACCTCTCCTCGTTTCCAGGTATTCAGCGTCCCCTCCAGGACATTCGCCAGCTCACCGACTCCATTTACATACCGAAGGGCATGAGCATTCCCTGCCTGGACCGAAAGGTGGTCTGGGAATTCGAGCCTAACACGAGCCTTCGCCCGGGCATGCATATTACCGGAGGTGACATCTTCGGCTATGTCCACGAAAACACCCTCGTTAAGCACAGAATTATGCTTGCTCCCAAGGCCATGGGCACCGTGAAGTGGGTCGCTGCCCCTGGCAACTACAACCTTACGGTAACTGTTGCGTCTGTCGTTACTTCATGCTTGTTTTCGTTTGATCTATTGACTGTAATCAAATCTAGATCTCCGCTGCCTTCTTATGTGTTGGGTTTTGCTTGTCGTTCCCTCCTTGATGAATCGATGCTCTGTAGGCGGACACCTATTAATTATCCGAATCGCTTACTTCGGTTCAGTTAGCGGACCACGTGTCGTGTAAAATTGATTTAGAAAGGGAACTACTACATGATTTGTCGCGTTAAAACGGAGGCGTTATATCATCTGGGCCTTTTTTTTCAAATGCTTTGGCGTTTATGTTATATACTCGGAAACTGGAGGGCCCATGTGCTACTGGCCCAGTCATTTCCTAATCTATAGCCCATTGGTCGGAAGAAAACCGCAACAGCATGTTGGATAATTCCTTGTAGGATAACGTACTCGAAACCGAGTTCGACGGCGAGGTGACTCAGCACTCAATGCTGCAGATCTGGCCAGTGCGTCAGCCGAGACCGGTCGCGGAAAAGCTTCCAGCCAACTACCCTCTTCTCACCGGTCAGAGAATTCTCGACGCTCTCTTTCCGTGAGTCCGTTACATCGTCCTTTCCTTCCTCCGATGATAGTCCGCATTTCTAAATATTTCCTTGTTTAGGACAACCCTTTTTTGTAATCAGGCTAGGAGTTTTAGGATCCCTTACTGGCGCCGCACCGAAGGCTTTATTGAAGTTCCCTGATTACGTGAGAAAGCTTGCTAATGTTGGATAGCGGTGCTAGTCGCAGGGGACAACCTTCACCGGTTTTACATCGTTTGTCGTGTGTGTGTACGTGTGTCTCGAGAAGCACAACCGTCTAAACGTGTCCAAGTAACCCTCAGTCGCAAAGAGAGCTGTCCATGCGCTCAGCACTTACTGATGGTCAAATTTAGACCGTTCTACACGCGTGATTGCGAATGAAGGGGCGATATGCATGAGAGGCGTTTTGATTACTTGGGGAGGTTGCATGAGCTTGAATTGCCGTCACATGAACAGACTTATTTGTATTAGTGAATGGCTGAAATAAATGGATTGATATCTTGGCCGGTTACATGTGGACAAACTTAGCGTGCCGGATAAGCCTCTAATACGTCTTCCCTGTTGCCCAAATTCCTCTGCGTTTGCGAAATTGACAAGATTGGGTTATTTCGATTCCTTACAATTCGCGTGTGCACTTTCTACAATCAATTAGAGTCACGGCGGTTTGGATCTGCGTCAGTTCTTGCTTACATCACCCAAAAATCTGTTAATGGATGATAATTAGACATTGGTTTATCCACACACTCCTACTGTGCTGGCTACCGCTTGTAAAACTGTGCTCTGAAAGTCCTTTCGGGTGCTCGTTTGCCCGCCTTATCCGCAAATTCACACCACCTTTTACAGCACGTTTTTGGTGCTCCGGTATCTAGATGAATGGGCTCTCTGTCGCTTCAATTCGTCGATGCTCTCACCTTGTGGGTGTGCGTTTGTGTGATGTCAGCTTGTTGGAGTCCAGCAGTAAACATTATGCACTCTGACCTTCATGAATGACGCTGTGTAAGTGTGTCGCGGCATTTTACCTTACAGCTGCGTACAAGGCGGTACTACAGCTATCCCCGGTGCATTTGGATGTGGCAAAACCGTCATCTCTCAATCACTCTCCAAGTACTCAAACTCAGACATCATTATCTACGTCGGCTGTGGAGAGCGAGGGAACGAAATGGCCGAGGTGTTGCGCGATTTTCCAGAGGTGAGCTCCTCCATTCCCGCTCGCTATCCAACCATTTTGCCGAGAAGGTTTAAACGACAAGGCTGTCACGCTTCTTGAGTCTACATGCTACTAGGCTCTACTGTTGGGGTTTTTTATTCATGTGATGTTGGCATCCTGCATTCTTGGCTCTCTTCAGCTAACCGTCGAAGTTAACGGAAGACAGGAGACGATAATGAAGCGGACCGCTCTAGTGGCCAACACCTCCAACATGCCCGTGGCCGCACGCGAGGCCTCCATCTACACGGGCATCACGCTCTCGGAGTACTTCCGCGACATGGGCTACAACGTGGCCATGATGGCCGACTCGACCAGTCGGTGGGCCGAGGCGTTGCGCGAGATCTCCGGTCGTCTGGCCGAAATGCCCGCCGACTCTGGCTACCCCGCCTACCTCGGTGCTCGTCTCGCCAGGTCAGTGTTTCTCCGAAATGGCCTGTTTTTGTGTCCAGTGTTTTTTTTCCTCCCACGATTGGTGAGGCGCGTAGAGTCACTTCAAGGTGCTCGTCGTAGGCCACCACCTCCACCACCATTATCAACAGTTGATTTGCACCCGTGGTGTAACTCTCGGGCTGGAGACCTCGTTCGGCTGATCGTAACTGGTCGTTTCTTTTTCCATGTGGCATAAATCCACGTTCGCGCTTAATCTGTGCTAATTGTTGTCGTCTACGGTTGCCTTGCTCACTGGAAGAGCTTGAAAGTACCAGAATGCTCAGGGTTGACATCCTCGACGTTAAGTTGTTTTATTTTGTAGAAAAATTGCCCAGGTAATTATGTTTATTTGATAAATATACCAAATTAGGCGACAGTTGTCTGTGGCTGTCTGTGTGGTCGTCCAGTGTGTTAACCCTTTTTTTTATCCTCAAAACATGCATACATCGCTGGATCCAGCGTGCAGGCCTTTCGCCTCGTGAGCCAAGTGAACGTCTCTTCGAACACTAGGCCTCCTATACGCCCCATGAGACCCGGAAGTGACGTTTGCACGCCCATTCACCCACCAGCCCCCCTCCCAAGCCGCGTTGTGCCCTGGTTGTAGGCGTTTGAGTCATTGGGAGAGGAGGGGTAGCCAACCAGGAACGGCCCTTGAGGCCACTCGGTACAGACCACGGTGTGTGGCTCGGCGAATGCGGCAGCCGTTGGGTTAATGGCTGCTTAACTCATGGCAAATCCTCGTATTCATTGCTTCGAGGTTTGGCGTTTCCTTTTGACGGATGCCATGACTTGGTTGTTCTGTGGACTGTTCATTGCAAAGTGGGGTCCGTTGTGGGGCACGGGTCATTTGGCAACTCCCTCGACGTAAATCAGGCGACGCGAGGAACATTCTAAACATCGCGACTAAGCAGAACACCTGGGCTTGTTGAACAATTTTCGGGTGCTTTGGCGGGGCTACTTCATGTCTACTCTAAGTTCGAATCAGCTCACCCTGTTGCTGCTTTTTTGCATGGTTCGGCTTACTGTCCACCCAAACCGTTCACGTCTTGCCGTATTTAAGTGCGTATTCTCTCTCTAATGTTCTCTCTCCTATACGGAGTTGGCTTGTTGTGACTCCTTTTTCAATTCTGCTGGACCCCTATGAAAGTTTTGAGCCGATGTCCTAATTTAAACGCATTTAGTGATAGTTTTTTTGGCTAGTGTCATGGTCAGGAATTGATTTGGGTGCTTTCAAGACAGACAATGCCCATTCGGGATAAAAACGCTTGGTAGATAGTGGTGCTGGTTTTAGCGGGCCATTGCGAATGATAAATGGAGTCACCATCGCGTGATTCATTTATTGGCCAGATTATCGTCCACGGCGTCACGACTAGCGCACAAATGAGCGGTGGATTCGGAAAGCAGCATTAAGTGACCGCAACCGTGAACAGTTGGAGCTGGTTTCTAATCCTGGTTTGCATTTAAACAGTCATCGATGTGCTTTTATGCAGAACACTGATTGTTTTGAGTTGCTTAAATAAGACAAAAGGGAAAACAAGTAGATTTCGTGAGGTATTTCGAAAACAGCGACTCCAGTACAGTCGATAAAATAGTCCCTTCGAGCATCACCCGATAGTGCTCGTGATACTTACGATATCAAGTTCTTTCACACTCTCGAGTTGATGATCCCTCTTGGTTGTTTGCTGTTGCATCGAGTTCGCGAGTCTTCTTTGATTCCCTCCTGCCGTTCGGTGATGCCCTTGTTTCACACGCGCCTCTTCCGCTGTAGCTTCTACGAGCGCGCGGGCCGTGTCCGGTGTCTGGGTGGACCCGAGAAGCGCTTCGGCTCAGTGACCATCGTCGGCGCCGTCTCGCCCCCTGGCGGCGACTTTTCCGACCCCGTCACCTCGGCGACGCTGGGCATCGTGCAGGTGGGTTCCTCTGGCTGCCGGGGTTTTTTTTCATTTCCACGCTCAAAGCTGGCAATAGCGGTGGATTAATTGTTCGGGGTTAGAAGCCGACGTTCCTTCGGCTATTGTCCTGACGCATGTCGCTAACGTCTGCTATTTGTTCTCATTAGTTCGTTGGTGTTCCCGATTTGATTTCGTCTAATGTTCGTGATTTGGCATCAAAGTGACACCAGCGTGTTGCCTCGTTGGGGCTGCTTGTTTCTGGCTCATTAGAGTCACACTACCCAAGGTTGAAAATAGCAGTTGCAAGTGTAGATTCCCTGTTCTCTTGATATGTACCCCTTCACCTTTTCTTAAATGAATCAATGGCACCCTGTCGGGGTTGCTGCCCAGGCAAACCTGCGCTGGCGTGTGAATGCGTGCAAGCACTAAGCCCTTCACAACCTCTTGGTAGGTGTTCTGGGGTCTGGACAAGAAGTTGGCCCAACGGAAGCACTTCCCCAGTGTCAACTGGCTCATCTCCTACTCCAAGTACGTGCGCGCACTGGACGAGTACTATGAACAGAACTTCCCCGAATTCGTCACCCTCAGAACCAAGATGCAGGAGATACTGCAGGAAGAGAAGGACCTCTCGGAAATCGTCCAGCTCGTCGGCAAGGTTTGTCGCCTTTGTCTGGCCATTGCAGTCGCACTTGGCTCTGTCTCGTAGCTTTACTCAAACACACCAGCGACTGTCAGTTTTGTCTACAAATGATTGTGTGTGCGTCTATTTGCATCGATTGATTCCGTGGTGGTTTTTTTAACCAACCGGTAAACTTTAAAATTCACCCCTTGCCCAGAGGCCTTAATTCTAAGCTAATTGTACTCGCTACCTATCTACGTGTTGTATCATTTGCTTTAAACATCTGGAATTTGTTGGCCAACTACGAATCCAAACGGCTGGATTTTACGGATTACTTTTTTTGACGTAGGCACGACCACGCGTTTAACCGTTAGGTAAGGATGACACGCGGTCTTGTAATTGTTGTTGCATTGTTTGTTGTTGTTGTTGTTGTAGGCGTCACTGGCGGAGGGGGATAAAATCACACTTGAGGTTGCACGCATCATCAAGGACGACTTCTTGCAACAGAACGGCTACTCCGATTATGACAGGTATGCTGTGCTCGTTGCCTGGCCTCTGTCGTGCCGGCACCGCTTTCTTCTTTACCTCGCCACCCACTGATCGGGCACCTCGTGGATGAGTTCTAGGCGATTCTCTGTTTGACCCTCTTGCTGGCTTGCCTTGTCATAATATCTATGGTGCCCTTGTGAAATCGCTGTCAACTGCGGTCCCAATTAGGCGATTGTAACCCCCTGGAAGCTGTCACAAAGTGGCGGTATCTCGCCTCGATTTCCTGCCATTCCGGGGTATCCGCTGTATCGAATCTCGCTGCCTTGTGTTGTGTGTACCGTGATTTTTTGTGTGAAGACAAGGCACCTCTAATATTCCCCGTGACCCTAGTGGTTTCCACGTTTGCTTGTCGAAGTGCTGAAACGAGTCGGATAGACGCCGCCTACTGCGATGCCGTCCTCCTGTTGTTGTAGATTCTGCCCATTCTACAAGTCGGTGGGAATGATGAAGAATATTATCCACTTCTACGATCAGGCGCGTCGTACAATCGAGGCGACTGCTCAATCCCCTCGTCGTGTTACCTGGGCCCTCATCCGTGAAGCCATGAGTTCCACACTCTACAAACTCTCCAGTATGAAGTTCAAGAATCCCGTCACCGAGGGACAGGTTGGTGTTTCCGCAGTGATTGAGCTTTGCTTATCCCCCCATTGCCAAGTGTATGTCATTAAGCTAAATGCTGTCCGTTTTCTCTGCCCTCCGCAGGCCCAAATCCTCGCTGATTTTGACGAGTTGAATGAGGAAATCACGACGGCTTTCCGGAACTTGGAAGATTTGTAGAAGCTCTCTGTGAACCTGGCGCTCGCGTGTGCGCCACCTCTCGACTGTGCTGGTCTTCGACTAATTCCGATTCCATCGTCGGCTTCAAATGCATAATAGATCCGTTGCCCAACCCACCGGCGTGTCACCTCCTGTGTCCTCCCCCACTTTTAACCCCCGTGTTTATGTCGTACCTTCTGAGAGCTTTCTTACCTACCCGTTGTAACCGTGATCTATTAATCTACTCTTTGATAGACTAGATTTGTCGCCACCCCTCTCGCTCTTCCCCGAGGAATGTTGAAGTTGAAGGGGGGACTGGGTTCTGTATTCGAGCGCCGGTGTGTCAAATTTCAAAGACCACCAGTAGCATTTGGGTTCATTGTTTCACTAAACACTGAAAAGGCGGTCGGCAGCGCACAACCGGCATCTGGCAAGGTGTGACAGCTACTGTTGGTAGCCGTCTAGCGCAACAAGTTATGTTATTCGCCGATGAGAAGCGTCCTCGTTTGAATCAAGCAAAAAACGTATCAGCACGCTGGTATTCAAAGCCGATGGTCCGCTAAGATTTGATAATTATACAGTCAGACGTGGCAAATCCGATGATAGTTCTCTTCAATGGTGTAAGCTGGAGCTCGCCGAATGAAATAACTCGATAGTTCAAGTTGTTCGATTAAAGCAATACCCACGAATTTCCTACATGTCACCGCAGGGAACAGCGAACGCACGTGAACGTGGCTTTTAACACCGATCGGCGTCAATGACTCACCCTCACCCCTAGCCGCTTGCTGTTGAATGTTGATAAACACGCTCACACAAGGGCGCTTAGCTGGCCTGAGATGAATATATGGCCGCATCGATTGTCGCTGTTATGGGGTTTCCACTGGCTGTTGACTGGCAGGCCTGTGAGGTGGTGGATGCTAACACAACCGTGCCTGACACATCCCGAGCTGGTTTGGGCTGCTTTTATTTGTTCACGCATCTGCTCGCTTTTTGTGGCCTTGCTTTGTAAACCACACAGACAAAGTATGGCACAGACCGGTCAACCAGTCGTTTAAACCGTCAAATTGACTTCATTTTCTCGGCTTTTTACTAAATTCTGCGTTTACCTAGTTGTGGCTTAAGTCTTTTTTGTTAACATTGCTCTCCGTCGGAATCGATACCGCCGTCGCCTGTATAAATTGACAGCTGACACAGACGTCGCTGATAAACAATCGATTCCGATTGAGATTTGGCCTTTTCATGAGGGTCTTCAAATCTGTCCCTATCTCTGGTGACGTTGGCTAACAAGCGAAAGAAGGACGATGTCGAGAGTTACTAGAGCATCAGAAAACTGAAGGGCCTCTCCTATGAAGTTGGTTGCCCCGTCTTGAGTTCGCAATCCCGCCAAAATCCTTAAAGGAAATCTGGAGGTGTGAACCACACAATTAGGTGGAGTTAAAGTGACAAACAAAGGCCTTGCTCGACGGACCCACTGGCTCAAATTTACGGGTTTTACATGCCTTGAAGTCACTGTGATTTGGTGGTTGTAAAGAAATCCCCCGAGGAATTCTATTTCAGCTAGTTTTTTTGCAATTTAATTGGCGCATTTGTCATTCGGGTAAGTGGCTGACAATGTGCCAGTCATTCCGCCGTCAAAATATTGTATTTTGCCATCGTGCTACGCGGTGGTTTTGACGGCTCGCTTCTAACAACCAGTGAACTGACTCGCCAGGCATGTTGTGCGATCAAAAGGTCAGTGCTTGCACTTGCACAAGGCGGTGTGCGTGTTTCACAAAACCCACGGCCCAGTTTGGAACCACACACAAACCCAACAACACCACAAGCCAATCCTACGTCACGAAGTGAGCGTTTGTTCCCTCCTCTATTTAAACAGCAACACCCACCACGTCCAGTTCAACACCACCAACTTGGCTTCATGGATCCGCTAGAAAAGGCATTGGCCACAAACTGATGCCTTTTTCTGACTTTTCTGATCAGTCATAATTCTAGATTCAGTTCGTTTATCACGAGAATATTGTAAATTGGTTCTCTTCCGAAGTGTGTTAAACAGCATTCACAGGCGCCTTGGAAAGTCGCCTCGTTCAAGCTAACCGTGTTTGTCTCTTCACCCATCTTGCTCACCGTCCATTGTTTACACGGATACGTCTGGCTATGCAACCCGTGTTTACACAAACCCCTGTGACACGTTGAACGTGACACGACGTTGTCTGCACACAGACGCAGCACGCGTCTGAGTCATCAAGCGAACAGCTGAGCCGCCGTCGTCTCTGATCCTCTTAAACTCCGACAGTAACCGAAGCGCAACAAGCTGTCTGGGTCCCGACTCCACACTGTCAGCCATCTGTCGACTCACCGCTAATCAAGCACGCTCACTCAACTAGCAAAAAGCCGCGGTTGTAAGCTTTTCCTGGGTGTGTTAATGCGAAATACGAAAATTTCTGAAAGTAAATCCAGCCCAAGAATGGTTAGATCAAGCTGCGTATACAAGGCCATGTCGGATTTACGAAAAAGGCTTTTCTTTTTTGCAGTGACCATAGCCAAGGAAAAATTGCAAAATCTGCCAAAGGGACACTTGCCAATGCAAATTAAAGAGCCCTCCGACTTGGTAGTGAGGCGGCAAGATTTCAGCCAATCACAGATCCGCATTTTTCCCATCTTAGGCAACTCATTAAAAATACAGCAAAACTTGGTTGAATGGTTGAACTCATCAAAAGGCATGTTTGATGATAAGTTCAACGCGGTTCTATCTTTATGAAAGCACTTTCGAGGTCTGAGTCTATCGTTGCCTACTATTTGAGTACTTTCATCCCCCAGTAACGGAGGTGAAGAACAACAGGGTATAACTTGAAGGGATCCAGTTTCTAAACAGCCAAGCGTGAATCGAGTTTATTCAACCCCTTAATCCGGTCGATCCAACTCGTACACAGGGTTCCCCTTGTCGTAGCCGCGCGGATCCTCAACCCTCCCCCTCATTCACACTATTTATCCTAGATTATCCTCACACATAGGTCTCGATGTTAGCGCATGTATGACTCACACACCCGAGGTATAAATACGCACGCGCAAACCCCACACACGACACAACGACACCAACGTGGTTGGGCTCTGAAGTAAACGGTTGTGTCCCCGTCCTCTCTGGTCTTTTCCTGCATCGCGGACACCAGGGAAACGTAATCGGGCCAGGGTTAATTCCGTGGCCCCGGCGAGGTTCAAGACCACATGCTGGGGCCCACAACAAGCCTTTCTGGCATAACTTTCTTCTAGATAATACTACTGTGCGAAGGCAGCGGGGCCGGGTGAACAGATCCCTTGGCCATCCACCGGGCACACTCTGTCGTTGTTTGGGTTCTTTCTTGCGTGGGCGTATTGTTTAAAGTACTTGTAAACATAGACCAATGAAAGCTAACGTGTATCACAGGGACCAATCAGCTTGCGATTTTAACCTGTTGGAAAAAGTCGCCGTTGACAGTCCACTGCCGGAAAAACTGTCGAGTGAAAGTGGGCTTCCGCGCGAAAGTCCAAGGCCTGTGTAATGTTGCGCATTCATGGCAGGTCAGCTTTGACTTTATTTGTGGAAAGTGAGGGAGCCTTGTGCCACTGCTGAATTCGGCAGGTAGGGGAATAACCAAACAACTAATCGTAATCGAAGAGATCGTGAGCTTCTTTCTGAACAGGACTGGCAGTTTCTAACAGACCGTTTGTTCGATGTCAATGCGATTTGCAGGAAATCGTGACTACTTTCAAAGTGAGACCGATCAAAACCCAGATTTGTCACTCAAATTTAAGCCTTGTTAATAAGGTGTGACAAGTCTGCTTTTAGGCTTTTTTTCCAGGTGCGAATTCATTTCGTTTACTTGTCGTGACTTTATTACATATGCGAATAAGTTTAAAGGCAGCATGCTTTCATAACAAAACATCTCAACCACGCTGGTGCTGATGTTCTTTTTTAAAAGAAGCAGCCTTGCCTTATTTCAAGGGAATGCTTTATCTCAATGTTTGTACCGGAGAGAACGACCTTCGCTATTAAAAACCACTTTGAATTTTTGTATCACATAAACGCTACTGGTTACTTTTAGTTTTGAAAGTAAAAACGGTTGGTTGTATAAAAATTTGTGTACACGAATAATCGCGTGTCTAGAGTTGCAGGTTAGGATTGACCAATACTTGTGGAGAAAATTATTGGCCCTTTTATTTTGAGGTGAAGAAAGCAGTCAGGGGTTTTGTTTCGGTAATATAAACCCCTTCGGTAGAGACGACATCTTACAGACGCCCGGAGGAACTGTAAAAAGATTTAGTCATGGAAATTGATTCTGGGTTTTATACATTTGAAGTTAAATGTAAGAATGATTCCGCGAACTTCCAAACTATCTACGAAGATATCACTTTATAAACGCACATCAAGGTCATTTGACATGCCTTATCTAGCAGGTTTTTGAGTACCTGATAAAAAGATGGTGTAGAATGTGTTAGGTTACATGATCACAATCGTTTTAACGTTCTCAGATCGTGTTTCGGATTTTCGCTGTAGCTTTCGCTTCTGCTTGGATTTCATAAAATATATCAGCAAAATTCACTCACCAGATTACAAGACGGACACATCTGTAACTCCGATGGCGATATCATAGATCAAGTGATTTCAGACGCTATCACTGAATTTCGGTCTTCCACATCTGTAATAATTTAAAGTGTTATCGTGTTTCTGGCAGCGTCTATCAATCCCCGAACCATTCTATTAATAAATTCCCTTTCCTGGATCTCCCAACGACTGCTTCTCAGTCCAGAGTTCTTTTCTTGGTGGCTTATTTGGCTGTTCGCCCAGTCCTTCATCCAGGTGTGCACAGAGGCTCGTCTGAACGTACCCAGGTGACCCCCTTCGATTACCCAATCACAAACACGCAACGCGACACAATCAGATCTACTGCGTGCGGCATGTGAATTAACGTCATGTCCACCTCATTGTTTGGCCAATTTTAGTATATTTCTTAGATGCAATGCCTTCGGATCGCGCGGACCTGAAAGATTATTTTGCACCATTCAACAAATTATGATCACACGGATTAGTCTTTGAGACAGGTCGTAGTTTTTTAGGACACCAGTAACTTTTAAACTCATCACCACTTGCTTTAACTTTAATCCATGACACCTAATTTGGCCGACCCTATGTTCCCTGGAAAACTGCATTCTAATCCGTCCTCGATTGCGTCATTAGCCCTGCTGGCTGCTAAATCTAATTGGTCCCGCCATGATTGCTTCGGTCTACCCTGCATCGTCTACAATCACGAAGCGGCTATTCAAAATGGGCACTTCACTTTCACAAAGGAAATACGCCCGCGGCACATTTTGCTCGTAAAATTAACTCGGTGATGCTGCCAACGTGGACAACAGTCCAGCGACTACAGAGGAAGCGTATTGTAGAAGACACTGAAAGATCAGCATGTATCTGGGTGTCGATGAGCGAAGCCCACGTTAAAAAGATCGGCGAAGGCGACAACACGCACCTTATTCGAGCCCACCGGGGGTTTGGTGCTCACGACAGTTTTCACCAACGAGATGGAGAAATGGGTGGATTGAAGGATAACGAGTGGATTTTCCACCGAAGCAATGATCCGAATTCGGCACAATTGACCAGATCAAGTATGGGAATCATTGTAACACTTGTCATTTGTCCCAATGGTGGCAAGGACTCCGGTTACTGTTTAACATTTGTGGTTTGATCTAATTACTGACGTAGTATTTATTGTTTAGGATAACAGTGGTTTTCGATTCCAGAGCGTATCTTCACTATTGTTTGTGCAAGTGTTATCTGCGGAGGAAACAGATTCGGAAACATATTTGTTTATTTCAGAGACATCGACAGTCGGATGCTGATAATGCGGCAAATTGGGACCATTCTTCAGTACAACAACCTGTGAACAGCGAGCATATTTATCAGCATGGTCATGAGAAATGTCTGATATCAAAGCGTGATTAGCACCGGAGGGGTGTAGTAGTGTGGTTAGGATTTCTGAAATGTAAATGGTACAGGTGCACGACACGTTGACACAGCTCAGGCTTCTGAACAGTCAGCGACCATTTTAGCAAGTCCAAAGAAAGAGAGAAATGGCACAGTTGTCAAAATAGCGGCCTTTTTTCGCAGAGGGATCCGCGTGGCAAAGCAGAATGATCGCGTTGGTGCCAATTACCAGTGTTCCACGTGTGCACTTCTTGTTGAAGTTTTGCTTGCTCGCATAATAAGTCAATGGCCATTTCAGCAGACCTGCAGCTGGTGCTGTCATTCCGTTCTTCCACGAATTCCTATAAATCGTCTCTTCTCCATCGCTTCCAAATTCCTGCAAGAAATCAGTCAAGAAGAGCAATTTAATTGGGCTAAGATGGCTTCACAGGCTTCCACCTGTTGGATCAACGTAACTAAGCCCTGGGAGTCGACGGGTTTCAGTGGAGGAGAGTCAAGCCATTCATGCACAAAACTGTGACAATAGTTGCACCTTGCCCATTTTTCTTGAGGATATCCTCTGCAAATTTTAGACCCATTTCTCCATCGACATGAGTGCATTGCTGCATAGATTTAAGAGCCTTTCCTTCACAGAACAGCAGAAGGTACGCTAAACAGGTTGCTCTGTCGTTTGTGCTACTTTCAACAACGAAATGAAACTGTCTAAAAAAGCCATAAAGTGACTGTGGATACCCACCGAATTTTCTAATCTCAATCTTCTGTAATTTTATCTGATCATACACACCCTCAACTGACCGTCCTTCGCAAAATGCTTTTTTTTCGAACCTTTCTTTTTGCAACAGTTCGATTTCTCGTCGTTTTTCAACCTCTAACAGACATGACATTGCGATCCACGATGCAAACCACTGTGGTTAAATAACCCGTTGATTTCATTATCACTTATTACTATTTTACAATTATGTAATTAACACCAGCATAAAAGCGGAAGCACGTGCTGGAATCGAGGAACAACGAAATCAATCCATCACGCCAGATTTACATAACTTTTATTTGTCAATTTACTTTTTACTTTACTTTACTTGACCTTGCAACCACTGCACCTTGTCACGTTGTCACCATCGCCACGCCATCGATTGCACACTGCGTGCGATTTCAAATCCAACAATCGATGCGTCTGAGCGCAGAACTGTCACTTGCACAGTTGGTCTGCAACCATCGTCATCAACTTGCTTCTGGTCTCTACTTGGGCGAAAACAATGCTGAGCACTGAAGTGATCACTCCAGTCATCGATGTGTGCGTGATGTTGATTATGCTGCCGTACATTGAGTGGGTAATGCTGGGCATTGCAGCAGTGTACGGAATGCGGATTGTCGCATTTTGCGTAACTCAGGTGGCGAAACATGTCGACGAGATGCCTGTGTCTTCTGAAACCTCCGGTAAGCGCGTCACCCCACAACGCGTTCACGTTGTTTGTGCTGGATATGTTGAAATGCACGTAAAATAAACCAACAACCATTTTAGGCACGTCCGAATCTGCAATTGAGGAGGAGGCCGTGAACAACGAGAGCTTTGCCCAAGAGGAGGAGGATAGAGATAGCAAGGAGGCAGGTGTTCTCGAGAGACCTCTGTTCTCCACTCCTGAAATTCTAGTCATGCCTCCTTCTATTGATGTGTTTGCGTGTGCATCACCACTTCCGCGTGAAGCACATGAAGCCAGTGAGTTCAACATCACACCCTTACTTTCCTCCCCTCCTCCCTCTCCCCGCTCCCAACACCACATCTAATCGGCATTGCTTTCGCTTGTGCGCGTCGCTAGGCCTCCGTGATCACGGTTGCACCAAGTCTCTGTCCGCCGCTGAACGCATCGGATACAAATTCGAGGTGAATGAAATTGTGCACTCACAATTGGACAGAGACGCGACAGGCAACGACACCATTGGCGCTAATTGGTCAGTGGGACGTCGTGATCGACGACGTGGTGATGGTGACAAGGAATTCAATTCCAACAACGAAATGCCATGTCGTGGATTGCTTGCCAGTGAGTTTGTTCATACAATGGAGTAGATATTGCCGCGCATTTGACAACGTCGAGGGTAGTTGAGTGGGTTGGCAGTGTTAGTAGTGATGAATCAACCGATTTTAATGGCAGATATGTCCAAAACTCTTCCTAGCTGGACATAACATGTAACTGATGCATAATAATTCAATGCTTGTTGAATGTTTCAGTTGAAAGCGAAGTGCCTCGCAAACACAGGCGCACCTCGGTAAGTTGTGTCAGTTTTTATTTCGCTTGATGCCTCATGCATTGTGGTCATCTGCATTGGTTGAGTGCCCTCTTTTTGCTTTGACTGCAGTGGCGCAAGCGGATGAGAAGGCGTCTGGTGAATTGGTCCTGTGGATGCCTGTGTGGTAGCCACATGGACTGACTACTTTGCAGTTTGCCCTGCTCCCTTCGTTGTTACTCCCCTGCTGTACATATATACCCATGTTCCTGTCATGTCTTGACTCTTCATTCGCTAATCGGTGGGCATGTCAGTGCGTACTCATTTGAATTAAGATGTGTAGAACCTGGCGGCTAGTAATGGAAAGAATCATTGATGATGATAATAGCTTCATCAAGCAAAGATGAGTCGTGCATTTTATTTGAATTCTTGTTTGTAATCGATCGATATGGATTGAGAAAACGTGATGTTTGCAGCACGCATCTCTTCACTGATAATTGTGAAGCCGCTTGCATGCGCAGGAGTGTGGAAGAAAGTATGTCTACAAATGAATAATTGAAACTGCTATTAGATGTGTCGATTAGATGCAAAGTCATACTCGTTCGACGCGCTGCTTGCTGACTGCAAATGTGTGTACTCGATCTGCCTAGGTAGCGGAGCAGGCGCTTTAGACTTACAGTTAGGTAACTGTCCTAAAGATGGCGCAGCAATTATGTTGCTCGTATTAGTAAAATTCAATATGAGAGACGAGGAATCACATTGCCTTCATGTTATGTCGAATGATTTCATAAAAGGAGTGGCCTTTGTACTGCTGTAAAACACATGCATAACGTCTGATTCGGTCGTACTTCGAATCTCAGGGTAATTTTAATGTAGCTTGGGTGCTTTGTAATAGTGTGTCGGATCAAAAATAATAGGTGAGCTGTTGTAGCGAGTAACCATTTTTTAGCGATTTTACGAATAATGTTGAAAAAAATTTCTATCAGTCAGAATGCGAAGGGACTATGTGTTGACAAATCGACTGCGGTAATTCATCTAAATTGTTGCATTCGCACTTTGGACAATGAACTAAATTGGAGTGTGTTTCCGCAGAAATTGTAACTCGTTGTTCTTGAATCAACAACTGCTAGAAAAGAAATGGCTAACGCATCGTGAAATGAATTTCAGTATTTTTTTGCAATCGACGTTAATTTATTCTGCGACGTTTCAAGTTTTCAGTCAGTTGAACCTCAGGATTTCTCGCCGAAATTCGTTGCAAGGGACATCGAAATTAAACTACCTGTAAAAGTATTGCTCAGACATGCAAGCAAACACTCCAGCAACATCTAGATGTCAAATTTCAGAATCAAGCTGGAGTAAAGACAGAAGCAGCACCAGCAGAAGGAAGCCTCAGTTAGGTGACTGTTGGTACAATTTCAGAAAGTTGATTGGCTAAATAAGCTATCATACAACAGACTTGTAGCACCTACCTCGGTGTTAGCGACCTGAAAGATTGTGTTAAGAGCAGGCATATTATTGTAAGTCGGATGAAGGGCATTTCGTAGAAGTGGGTGAGCAGTTAGTGTTGCTTAGATGACCAAAACACATCCCTTGTCTAAAGTGTGTCCCACCCTCCCTGTACAGGACAATGACAGGACCCCATGTAGAGAGCTTTTGCCGCCTCAGCCGAAAGTCAAAATGAACTGTTTGTGCACTGAGTGGCCTTGACGTAGTGGATTGTGAGGGCTTGCCAAACAACAAGGAATGCCGACACCCCTTAGCCATCCTATTGAACTATAGCACCCACAGACCACGATGACATAGTTACCACTGTCTGTACACGTCATCATTCAGCGGCTGTTTGAAATTAATGCCGCCTGGTGGAGAACACCAAAAATTGAGGTATGCAAAGGTCACTTCTCTCACATTTCGATCGTCCGAGTTCGGTGAGGTGTTAAATCGACGGTTAGAATAGTGGATTTCGGCATTTGCCAGAAATCCTAATGTGATTCGAGAAACCTACTGGAATGGGTTTTAATGTGTGATTTTGGAGCTGTTGTCCAACCAAATGAGAGTGATTGTGGTTGGGGCTGAAGTGGTATTTGCCGACGCTGAAGACGTGGCAAGATTGCAGGCTCTCGTTTCGGTGGCAAATTCTCAGAGGAGTTTAAGGGTTCAGCCGTTACTAGGTCGATGACCCACGGTGAGCGGCTTGAATCAGTGGTGTGTATGTATTAAATCTTTTTTAGTACTACGGAACAGATTCACATAATTAGGCAGCTCGCAAAACTTGCATTTTGAAAGGTTCACTCAGATCCCGACTTCATTGTGGTCTGAGGAAGTCTATTGGTCACCATGACTTGATTCGCAAAATCAGTTGATTTGTCATGCGAAGGCGATCACAACTTGATAAAACCACTGTCACTGAATGCTTGATGCTTAACGTGAAAGCCCGAGTACAAAACCAGTTTGGCCTAAATTGACTTGCATTTGAGGAATACTAGAGAGCAAGTATTTGGCACTATTTGAAAACTAAACGTACTTGTCTGCTGATCAAGTAAACAGCAGACGCATCTGCGCATGAATTCGCTGCAAACTGGGTCTCCATAGAACCCGCCAAACAGTTACACGAGATCGTCTTTCCACCCAAAGCAAAATGACTTCAAGATGAAACGACAAATTACTTATATTTACACTACGTATCGGTAATTTTACAGGTAGCTTATGGGATATGAATCCCCTGGAGTTACAGTACTAATACATTTAGAGTTGATATGGGACGATTAGATAAGTAAACCGTAATTTCAGCGTACGCGCACAGATTTTTGTGTTGGATTGATAAGGCATGAAGTGAAAAGGACGTCGTGGATAAAGTAGTGGGTGAGAATCAAAAAAGTGAGAATAGATTAAGTCTTAAGAGGGAGAGTTATAAATAAATGGAATATTAAAGAAGAATGTTAAAGTGATGCGAGGAATTGGAGAAAAGGCATATAAAATGTGAATCAAAGCATTCCAAGTAAAAGACAAAAGTGAAGTAATTGAAAAATTATGACAAGTTATAAGGAAAAGGAATGCAAAGAAAAACAAATAAAACGACAGTCTAAGGAGGTAAATGCAAAAAAAACACAACCAACAAGCATAACAGTAAATGAATTATAACAAACAATTTATTAACGAAAGAAACCACGCAGAATTCTTAAGAAAAAAATAAGAAATACAATAAGGAAAATAAAGGATAAATTGTTTGCAGAAAATACAATGAAAGTAATGGAGGAGGCAGGAGATGGAAGGCAACAGGGTGGTAAGGAAATCAAGGGAAGCAGAAGGTATGTAAGGAAGAAGTAAAGTCGAGTAAAATGGGGCTGAAAAGTGGATGAAAGGATTTGTTAATGTGTGGAGTGAAGATGAAGTGGAGAAAGCACGCACGCTGAAAAAAGGTTTGAGTGAAGTCGGTGTTCTCCGAGTCACCTGAAATAATAAACAATGCATGCTGGTCAAACGTAGGTAACGAAATGTGGAAGACCAGAAACCATCAGATTCATCGAATGCTTCTTAACTGAGCGGTGAAACCTAATTTGTGTGATCTAAGGCTTTTTCACATACCGTTTCCGTACCCTCAAGCGGATAATCTGTGGCTTTCTTAAGAAACCCGACGGCCATTAGTGGGTCGAAGCAGATGCTGACCAAAGGCCTAAAAGTTCCAATTAACCAGTTTGAGCTTCCTTCATGAAGGAGTCGAATATTGTCAAAAGGCAAACGAAAAGCAAATGTACAAAAGAGTGAATTTTCGGAGCAAAGGCGATCCCGGAAAGGACGTGCCCGGGGAACGACGTGCACTTACCGAGGGGGTCGGAGAGCGAGATTTCCTAACGATGGTTTTTGAGGGACGGAGGCGAACAGTAGGCACTTCGTTCGTTGTTTGACTAAATTGCAGAAAGGTATTCAACACTAGGTATCATAAGAATAATCGAAATCAGGCAGGTCACCAGAGTGGACTGCCTGCTTGGCCTTGAACCTACAAGGACGCATGATCCGATGACCGGAGTCAAGCCTTACATGCAAACTAATGATAAGTGCTCTCCGCTTCGTGGTGAATACTCACTTGTGGTTGCTGTTCTGTTCTGCGACTCTGTTAGGGGAACGGAGCTTAAAAGCGCCAGACTTGAGCTCTTCCAAGACATCAGACATTCCTTTCGCTTGGGGTATTTTGGCAACAATGTTCATGGCTTTGGAATCCTTCACAAAGGGAGAGAAAGTAGTCAAGTAGCAGCATTTAATGACAACTCTCAGAAAACACCTAGTTCACATTACAAATGCTGTAATGCTGTGGTTACAACGATTAGAAACCTAGTCTGATGAGAGTTCAGTCAAAATGGGACGAAATGTAGCTAATAATAGTAATCTTCTAACCCAAAAAATACTGAAGTAGATTGACAGTATTTTTTGGTAGTTGAGACGAGGAACACTTATACACGTGCGTAGCCAATGATGCAGCCTACTACGCTGCATAGTGAGTGGTTTTAAAGGATAATATCGTATTTAACGCTGTCAAAGTTTGATTTACGAAAGAGTTTGACATTTTCATATATATGATTAATAAAATAGCAAAATACTCTCTTTGATAGTGATTTTTTCTTCATTAAGAAAGAAAGCGGCGGCGGCGGCGGTGGTGGTGGGGGAGGGGGTGGAGGAGGAGGTGGTGGTGGTGGAGGAGGAGGGGGAGGACAATGTGCAGTCGCCGAAGTTGGTGGGAGACTGCAAGAACATTGAGAGTCGCTCGCCTCCATGCTCACTGTCATGCAGGCGACGTCGCGTGAGGTCATTTTTCCCGGGCTTGAGTTTGCTGGACCACGTGGCGCCAAACCTTGGGCATCGACCAAAGATGCGAGCAGCTTGATTGATGCACGAAGACGTCTGTCCAAGTCAGCTAATTTCAGCAACAATTCTTCTAAATTTTGCAAATTGAGAGAGTTTACATAATCCATCGACCAAGGTAACCCTAGTGCCTCGTAGTCACAAAACTACCTCTGTACAAAAGTACGCTTTAAAATGACTGCCTAGTGGCTGAGAGTTTACACGAAACAATCACTTTTTGGTATTTTACCCTCTTTTCGGCTTTCAGTTATCGCTTCTGACAAGGGAGTTTCATCACAATCTCCAAAAGGTTGAGTCGAATCCAGCTGGCCAGGTGAGAACACAACGTCAAAGTTGGTGTTTTCAACAGCCTTATTCACTGGCAATTCAACCTTGATAGTCTGAGCCACACAGACTTTCACTGGAGCGATCTGTTCAGCGACTTGAAGCACAAGTTCAACAAAGCTGCAATTGCCCTCCAGAGGTTGTAAGTCAGCGTAAATTACATCTCCAAAGGTGAATTCGTCTACTGATACTTGCTCGTTAACTACCACGTCTTCATTAAATTTGTTATAATAATTACAGGGACCACGGTGCTGCTGCAGCTCTTCACCATGACTCCTGTTGTTGGTTGAAAGGACTTCATTTACAGCAGTGAAGCAATTGATGTTGGATACTTTGGCGTAAAATCTACCATTTCTACAATTGTCACCCTAAATTGAACAAAATGCGTATATTAACACCGTAGTAAGGGCTCACCGTAGCCCCGTTTTTAATGATAAAGAATCATGTCGAAACACAGAGAAGCCCAAAAATGATAGAGTTCCAGTTTATAATCACCACACAATGCTGCATAAATGCACAACTTGGCAATTTTGCAAAAGGTTGCAAGGCTCCACTTATCATTTGTGCATATACTAAGCGTGAGGGACCTCAAAGGCAACTTATCACTTGGCTGTTATGCATTATTGTTATACATATAGGTACTCAAAAGTTGTCACTCAAATCTGGCAGCGTTTTGGTAAATTCTTAATCAACTACATGAATTTTTGTTGATAAACAAGAAGCGGTTTGTCATTACATAATCAAGTCCACTAGAACCCACTTAGTTGCTGTGCCCTTGGTAAGTGTTGCAGCAAATATATTAAAATCATTTAATTCAGTCTCTTAAGTTGTATGTAAAATTACGTGACCAATTGTTGTCCGTTTACATATTATATATTGGCTCAGTCAACACAAATTTTACGGTTGAACAGCCTATATGCCAAAAAATTCATTTAGTCAGAAATTAACATAAATACCAGTATCTCACCTTACAACTAACGGTTCCCATTGTGTTGGTCGATAAAAGTTTCGCTTCTTCTTCAAGTTTTTTCCTTGAGTGTTTGCTACAGAACACTAACTGTACCATCATGATGATGAAGCAAATGTGGCTCAAGATAGAATACTTAAAAGAAAAAAAGAATCACCTTCTTACAATCAATCACGCCAAGTTCGAAGGCAAAATAAAAATGTCTAACGACATCAATATTTTTCATATCTTGACAGGGATTTACGCATGCTGTTATTTTTTGAGAAATGGTATCAACCGCAACTCGTGATGCATTCAATTACTTCCACGAAAATTTCAAGTCGCAATTTTAAGTAACAGCCCAACTTGAAGTTGTTTATTCGTGGGCCAAAAATGTTCCGGTACAACAATTCAGATGATTGATGAGTTATCGTAATGAAAATTAAGAATCGTAAGAAACGGCTGTAAAAAATAGATAAATCGAAGCCTATAATGCGTTAACGAATTCTCATTTATATTTTTATTCAATTAAATAAGATGAATACTTTAATTATTCATTTTCATGAGGTAGAATTACTGTAAATTAGAATGAAGTAGAAGAAATGAACACGACGTGCATGCAAACGGTGAGCCACTTTGAGCCTAAATTCATTAAACGAATGAAAGTGATGTGCAATTTTTTTGCGACTTGAAAAAAAAAAGAGAGTAACAAAATACATGCCTAATTTTTTACACAAATTAAAATGAAGTAACCTGAAACTCTAGAAGACAATTACAAAATACCACGTATTTCTTTAAACAGTATATTATGCTAGCGATTTCGGTGGATTTTTCCACCAAATCCTAACAAGAATCCACTCAAACGGCTTCCACTGCCTACCATTCAAAGATGAGTAGCTTAGAATGCACTAGAAACTCAATTTTTCCTGTTAGGAATTGTTAGTCATCAGGTTGCTTTTAATACAAATAGCAGCAAAACAAGTAAAATAAGGAAGCAAATTAAAATACCAAATATGGATTGAGGGCCCATTTAAATAATCAAAGTCATTTAGATTATATTATTACCTAATAACCAACTTACCCACATCTGTGGTTTTATATTGCTTAGATACTCCGATATCGCAGCTGTCACAGTAGCCATCCGAAAGCACACCGAAACGCAAATACGTTACTGCGCGATTTCTAGTAGCGTTGTCAGGGTATTAAATGGAAAATCAATAAATTTGAAGAAAAAAACAACCAAATGAAGTCAAATTTTATTTTTAAAAAAAAACAAAACCAACAGATTCTTAGTTTTTTATGAGAATAAAAATGTGTAAAAATGGTTAAAATCAGGCATAAAGCCTGCATAAAATAAAATATTATGAGGATTGATTAGGAGAAAATACTAAATTTCAATTCTACTACAATCACTACTAAGCCTTTTTAAAGCACATTGCGGCCGAAAAAACAAAGTGACTATGCCAGGACCCGAAAAATCTACCTGGAAACTTTTAAAGTTTGAACATTCGGCAGAATCGATGTGTAATCTGGTACTAATATGTCAAAAATATCTATCGTTTTATTGTATTATTTGATTAAATGATGCCATTGTAAAATAGCTGGCACGAATCACACGAAATTAGTGATTTTAAAAGAAATGGGTAAAGATATGTATGTATTAATAAGTTAATAACATTCAAAATCACCTATCCCGAACACAACTAATAATTTAACAAACAAGTTAATTATATATATTTTAAAAATAAGCTATATCTACGTATGATTATGCATATAGGTAGGACCACAAAAATTGCATGTCATTTATGAAAAAAAGGTTTATAAATTTACTTTCCCTGTTTAAAAGCATAAATGCAAGCTGCCTTCTTTAATATTTCATATACTGACATGTTTTGGCGTAAATAATTGTATTTAAAGTTAAAAGGCGATAGTGTCCTACGTTTTCCTTTTGTCATTATTTCAGTGTGGGTGATTTTGTGACGTTTAATATGATTTTTACCAAGATGTAAACAAAAGTAACTGAAACTCGTAGATCGTAAATTTCACAGGCAAAGCTAGTCACTGTTTTAAAATCTTTTGCAACGCCTTTTGAGAAATCCACTGATGAAACCCCTCTACAATCTTCAGAGACGTTTTATTTGAATGAACGTGCTATACTGAAATATTTAGTGTAACGCTAAGCCTGAATCGGAAGGTGCAAAAAATTTAAAATAAAATTATAATACATAATTCACTGTTTTCAATAAAAATTAATAATTATCCAGAAATTAAAAAATGAATGTATGAATTTGTTTTTGCCAATTACTGATTTGAAGTAGAGCGAAACAATTAAATTCGATTTTTAGTCCCGTTGGTTTCAGATGGTCTGTCTCGGTTTGGTTTACCTGTCTCTTTGCTTTAGGCTGGTGGTAAAGCAGGAAAAGATTCTGGAAAAGCAAAAGCTAAAGCGATTTCTCGTTCGCATAGGGCCGGTCTTCAGGTGTGTTTGTATTACGGCTGACCACGCATTTAAATGACGTTCTATGTTCCTTTACATTTGAAATGTCAAGCTGTTGTAGCGTCTCGGTTTAATTTCGGTCGTTTTTGTAGTTTCCTGTTGGTCGTATTCACCGCCACTTGAAAACTCGCACAACGAGCCATGGCCGTGTCGGTGCTACTGCTGCTGTCTACTCTGCGGCTATTTTGGAGTATTTGACCGCTGAGGTCCTTGAGCTTGCCGGAAATGCTAGTAAGGATCTCAAGGTGAAACGCATTACTCCACGACATTTACAATTAGCTATTCGGGGCGATGAAGAATTGGATACTCTCATCAAAGCAACAATTGCTGGGGGTGGTGTGATCCCCCACATTCACAAG